TAGCGCTAGATATTAGTTGTAAGTTGTATTTCATTAATCGTTATCGTTATCGTAATTGTAATCGTATTTGTTGATGTTGTTGCTATACTCATACACATAATAAGAACTGATATGTTTGTAAGTCAATAATAAGAGAAAAACGGAAAGCAATTCGTATATGTAACTACGTAACTTCGCCTTCTGGTGTATCGCCAAATTTAAAACTATTTTACATTACACTTTATGTCTTTTCGTGCCGCATTTGGTTGAAGGTTTGCCTCACTAAAAACCCCATTTTACATATTTTCCTTTTTTTTTTGTTGGCTTCGATCACCACCAATTGACTCATTGACCGAAAGTTTGCGTATAGCTTAAAGTATGGGTACATTATTTTTAAAAAATCGTTACGGCATACTTTTTGTTTTTATACACACACACAATTCTTCGTTCTCAATATAAAAAAGAGAGCTCACTTGTCGATTTCTATAAATTGTTCTCCTTGTTCGTGTTATTTTTTATTCTTTTGTTCAATTTAAAGCTTTTGCGCCTGCGCCGTCGAGCCTCCACGTCGCTCCTCCTCGATCATCTCCCCTTTGCTCTGACGGCGCCTCAGTAAAAAAATAATGAAAACTGTTTTTGTTCGATTTGTTTGGTTTGTTTTTTTTGGGTTTTTGTTTTTAAAAAATGTTCTTGTTGCTTGTTGTTCTTGTTGTCTTACATGTTGTTGCTCTTCTGTGCTTTGCTGGTGTGAAGTTCTCTAATTGACTGAAATTGATTTTGTTACAAGGACGCATTGCTTGTTGTTTCTGTATTCTTTTAGCTGAAGTTGATCCGGTACACCAATAAGAGTTTATAGGTCGCCTAGTCGGCCATATAGCTTCCTTATAGAATATATATAGAGAGCACTACAAATCAGACATGCGGGAAAGCGCAGGCTCGCAACGATTGGCGTTAGCGGGGAAATTGGGAAAAACAGCTGGGAAAGACTCAACATTACACTTAAAGCTGCATCGTCGACTTACAACGTTAACGGACCCTGGGACCGAGCTCAGGTGAAGGCTCCTGAGACAAGGCCCATTCTAACACCACAAATAATACGAGTTTCGCCCGCCGATCGGGACGCTAGTTGGAGAAGTGTAGCCTACTTCTGGGCATAGCTGCCTGCGAAATGATTAGCTCGGCTTGGAAAAGTCCAGATCTGTCTTAGCTAATCCGCTCCCTTTATAATATATATATTTTCTTTTGTTTTGTTTTATGCATGTATATATATTTAGGTGTAGGTGTATATTTATATATTGGTGTATATTTTATGTATTCATTCCTCAATGGGGGTTTATTTTTTCAAAGCCACAGCTTCGGCCTCCTTGTTGTGGTTGTTCTTGTTGTTTTGAATTATTGCTTTTAGAACATGTCTTAAAAATATATTTTATATATATATGTATATGCCTTAGAAGTAGGTTTAATATATATATATATATATATTATGCAAATATAACATGTTTGCCGTCGCTTCCCCGTTTTTTAAAAATATCTGCCCCGCAGGGTAGAAGCCGCAGCTGGAATATCATCCTCCTCGTTCTTATCCCAAATGACCTTTGACCTGCTAAAGTAATGCCGGGCTGTTCAAACTCCCGGATATGCCAGACGACTGTCAGTGGTCTGATCTTTGTCTATCTAAAATGTCTTTCCGCTTTCCACTTAATTTTTTAGCTTTGTTTTTGATTATTTTATAGGGGATGTGGTGATGTGATCTGGATGATGATGATCGCAAGCCGCGATCTTTTGGTAAATCTGAAATGATCTTTGTGGGGGAATTGTGTGTATTTTTTTTGTGGTTCAACACTTTAAACGTTAAATGTACTGTATGATACACTGCAACTTCCGTTTCCGTTTGCTATTACACATATATCGTATAAGTTCTGTGTTGTTTTGGTTTTCAGTTTTCAGTTTTTGGTTTTTCGATTTTCCTCGATTTCCCTCTCTACTTTATATGTATGTATGTTTATGGGTAAGTTTTGTTGGTCCGAGACTTGACGCGGCAAAGTCCTGGAGAGCGTTGGTTTGACAATTTGGCAAAAAAGTTATGAAAGGAACATTTTCACTGTTGTTTTCGGCATTTGCTTTGCTTTTTCTCTTGTTTCTCTGTATGTGTCTGTGTGCTTTTCACTGGCTTTTCTCGGCTATCTCTGCTTTCTATTTTCTCTGTTTTCTTTCTCTATAGTTGTCAGCTCATCTTGTTTTATTTTTTGTTTAAGTTTTTTGGTTTTTACGTCGCCTAATGCAAAAAATGTCAGACAGACAAAAAGCGCATCGTATTGTTGTTCTGTCAATTATAGAATATTTCGTTTTTTCTCTGCTATTTTGGTATTTTGTTTGGTTTTTTGTTCTTGTGGCTTGTTGTTTGTTTGTTTGTTGTTAGGTTTTTGTTATTAGTTTTTTGTTTTGGTTTTTGTTTTCCTTTGCGTTTTCCCCCACTTGCTGTGTGTGTAACAAATGTCGTTTACTTATCTAGCTGATAGGTTTTGTTTGGTTTTTGGTTTGCTTTTCCAATAATTTAATACTCCATATAGTTGTATATAAATATATTTTTCTATTACGCCCCCCGATTGCATCGTCGTCATATTATCGTCATTATGCTCCTCTCGTAATCCCCAAATACATATGTCCTAGTACATCCTTCGTCCGGGCGTTTTAGAGCCGCCGGACGGAGCGACTAGAAAAAAATTAATTGCACATTGCGTGGCCTGCATTTCGTCGGTTTTTTGTTTTGTGTTTTTTTTTCTTCATTCAATTTCCAATTTGTCCGCCATCGAGCGGCATATCCTTGATCCTTTTTACATGCGTTTGTTTACAGATACATATATATATATATATACGTATAAATGTATACATATATATATATATATATATATATTTAGTTAAATGTTCAAACATTGGCGTTTTTGCGCGTTTGTTTTTATAAATATTTTATTTACTTAATCGTACTATATGTGTTGTATGTATAATAGTTCATTGTTATATTTGCATATGCTCTTACCACCTAATTTGTTTAAGTGTTTTTCTCTTTTTGATTTATCAGTAAGATCTGTGTCCTGTCTGTATCTGTGTGTGAGTGTGTGTGTTTTGTATCTCAAAAATGGTGTATGTTGTTTTTCTTACATTTGTAAAAGGGAGAGTTTTGTTTTTTAGCCATTGTTTTGGTTTTTCCCATTGTTTAGCAAATAAATTGATTTATGCCTCGAGTCATATAGAAATACACTCTTTCTCTCACTTAGCTCTCATTGTCATATTTAATGCTTTAACATATTTGTCTAACTATCCACTGTTTAATTAGCATTATTTACCATTTTGCTTTCAATGTGAACACAAAAGTTATAGGTTTTTTTATTTTTCTTCCTCTACAATACATATATTCCCCTGATTCGATAGAAATAATTGAGAAAGAGAAGAACTTCAACATAGTTAATTATAACAAATTGCCTTTGACTTTTGCTTTGCATTTGCGTTTCACATTTCACATTTGCTTTTCCTTTTCATTTCTTTTCTTTTCTATTCGTTTCTCTATTCTCTTCCTTTGTTTCTTTGTTGTTTACTTTGGCCAATAAAGGATTTGTTGTACTTTAAAATAAATTCATAAATATAATTGTAAGCACAATTTTGATTTGATTCACCCCCACCCCGGTCGAGAAATGAAAACTAAACCAATCCAATTCAATTCAATTTTCCGAGAAAAACATTAGGTTCTCTCTCGTTACTAGAGTTCCCCCTTACTTTTTTTTCTTTCCATATATCGATTATCGTTGAAAGTACAATAATTTGTGGTTGGTTTTCGCTTGTTGTTTTTTTGTTTTGTTTTGATTCAAGTAATTTCCATTTTGTATATATTGCAGTTTTTCTTTACTTTATATGTATAAGAGTGTATATATGTATATATATATATATCGACTTTAACTTTAAAAGTTACAACTTAGATACGTTAAGAATAGCAATAATAATTGTAATAATAATTTGCATCTCATAATACGCAATTACGCTATTATTGCAACATGTTTTTATGTTTTTTTTTTTCAACTCTATCGTTTTATTAGTTATAATTTCCCCCACGTATTTTTTCTGATTTCTCATCGTTTTTTTTTGGTTTTTATGGTTTTTACTTTTTTTCAGTTTCGTTTGTTTGGTTTTCTCATTACTTAAAAGTGGTTTGCCCCATGGTTACGCCCCCTTTTTTTCCCAGTTTGTCATCCGTTGGGCGATGATGATGTGCTCGGGGGTAGGGGGGCTTGGGCGGAGGCCTTGGTGCTATTTTTTTGCTGTGTGAGCAGCCACGCCCACCGCCCATCCGCCGATGCCACTCCACTCCAGTTGGACGCACAGTTTCCGTTTAATTTGCATTTTAAACGATTTTTGCTGCACACGTTGCATCTTTTGGGGGCATGATGTTGTAGTTGCTGTTCTTCTTCTTGCTGTTATTATTGTTGTTGTTGTAGCGGTTGTTAAATTAAAATTAATTTTTTGTTGTTGTTTGTGTTCGCTCGTAGTTTTTCCTCATCTTCTTTTTGCTTCTTTTCTCTATGTGTTTGTGGGTGTTTCTTCTCTCATTTTTTTGTTTTTTTTTCAATGGGTTTATATGTACGTATTTTTATATACGTTAATTAATTAATTAATTATAATGTGTGTGAGTGTGTGTGTGAGTGTTTGGTTTATTGTTTGTTGCTCTCGCAGTTGCTGACTCTTAACGGATTTTCATTTTGTGGAAATACACGTAATATGTAATACGTACTTTATTTGATTTATATTTATATATGTATATATATATATATATATGTATATATGCACGTATATATATAATTTTAAATTATTTCTGTTTTTGTTGCGCTCTCTGTGGTTTGCAGCATTACAGTGTGTTGTGTGTGTGTATATATCTGTCATTTGTTGCTAAAGTTGCTGTTGCATTTTGTTGCTCCTTTTGCTGGTTGTTGTTAAATATTGTTGTTGTTGATGTTCGCTGCTTATGTTGTTGCTGCTGCTGCTGTTGTTGTTGTTGTTGTTGTTGTCATTGCGGTTGTCGGCGCCACCTTTTAATGGTATCCATTTGTAAATGCCGCAGGAATTAGTGGTCCCTGTAAATAAACGTTTCGTGGAGAACAAAACAAGCAAACACCAAAAATTATTCAAATAACATGAAATTTTCTAGTTGCATATCTACGCACACACACATATATGTATGTAAATGTATATATATATAAATATAAATATATTAATATATTCATGTAAAGGAAAGTAAACATTTAGAGGTATACAAATATGTATATATTGAATATAGAAATTGAAGTGGCAAGATAGAGAGACAGAGTGTAGTGGCGACTGAAGACCCTGCCACGGAAATCAGCCTAGAAGGATGCTACGCTTTATGTGAAGCCTAAGCCTAGCTTCGCCAGTTTTGGCGATCACGTAAAGGTGGTCAAGCGACTACGTAACAAAGCTTTGAGCAAGCTTGCACGTGCCGTAATGTAGAGCTGCATTTAATTAAAACGCGTTTTGGCATATTTAACAGAGAATTTACATTTGCTCTGAAGACGAAGAAGAGCGCATTTGCCAATTAGGAAATTTTTTCAAGCAGACTTTCCGTTTCCGTGGGAGGTCTTTTTAAATCAAGGTCTAGAAGAGCATAGACGTGTCGGGTGCTCGTAATTATCAATAAATCAGACAGTGGCAGTGAATCGCGTAAACCAAGTGTTGAAGTGGCCGCTGAAAGCTTCGCAGAAAAAGTGAGTAGAGAAGTGCCAAATTTGTGGGGCACAGTGAGTAACCTTTTTGTTGCCCAGGTTAGGAAAACTAGAAAATTGGAGGCAGCAAAGCAGCGTCGACGCACGGCCAGGGCCAAAGGTCGACAAGACCTTTCGCCAAGGGAAAATCCCTTAATTTTGTTACCAGGGCTCAAGCCAGCGGGTAATTATGAAAATAGAGTGTTTGTTAAAGGCAGTGCTTACTGTTTGAATGGAAAAATTTACAGATTGGGCCCTGCAGTAAAGAGTCAAGTCCCTAGGCAAGGGGTACCCCTAACCTGAGGGGATGAAGTAGAGAAGCTACAACCAGCGCAGGAGGAGCCGATCCCCAGGAAAAATCAGGCCAACAGCGCGGATGCGCAACTCATCTCTTGGCCAGCTTCGTGTCGGGAAAAGCGATTAATTCTTTTTTTTGTGAAAATTTTGCTAACCTCGCGGGTTAACCTTGACCTGACCCCTGTGTTCTAACCTCCTCCTAATGCAAGTGAAGAATAATTTTAAATAGGGTTTACCCTTAAAGCCCATTTTGGTTACTTTTTCTTCTGAGATTTGTGCGAACAATTTGCTCTAACAAAGACAATGTGATTAATGGCCCAAAACATTTGTTAATATTGGCCTTTGAATTTAAAAACTTATGCTCGAATTATGCTCTCGATCTGCTTGCGTCTAGCCGTGAATTTAATGAAGCCGAATAATGAAAATTTATGCTGAATTTCCAGTATTTTAATTTAATTTATTATTAATTTAGTTTTTTTTTATTTTTACACCTTTATTTTTTTACTTCAAATTAAGTTCCATTGTTGCATAGCAAAAAGAATAATAATATAAGAAAAATAGGGCCATTCGGACTTTAACCCCTTTTTTCCAGAGAAAAGCTTCGAGGGAGATCGATCTTCGCCGATGGAAAATTGAGTGAGTCTAAAAAAAACCATTCGAATGAAAACATGCAATTGAAAAAAAAATGAAAATACTTGAAAACTTAAACCATTTAAAAATGATTTAATTTAAAATATACAAAAATAAAATCTCCATAAGCTAATGCAACAATTGAAATTGAAATTGAAATGAACTAAAGACATGAAGTAAATTTATTTTTAATAGTTAATAGAAAAGAGAAAACATGAAGTAAACGAACATTTAATAATACAATTTAAATTTGATTTAAACTTTTAAGAAAAATTATTTCTTTTGAATTTTGTGCACAATTTTTAAACACATATATGTACATCTATGCACCTCCTTACATTTTTACATTTTAATTTTAGCTTATATTTATCTTTGTTAGCTTTAAGTATTGAATTAATTTTATTAAACAAGTTTTAATTTTAAAAATCATGTTAGCTTAAAAACCGGTATATACCGACTCGTAGGATGACTCCACGGTCGTAGGGTCCTGAAGGGATCACCAGAGCCATGCTCTTGCGGCAGGTGATCGTAGGTTGGGTGGGCACAAAGCGAGCACAACAACATCTGTGTCTCTGCATTGTATAGATTTTCTCTCTGTCTTCTCTTCTCTCCACTTCCGCTTTTCTTCTGTCTTCTTTATGTTGTGTGAATTTTGTTTATCATTTCTTCCGGTTTTGTTCTAGCTTTTATTTTGTCGCAGCACGCTCAATTCTAGTCTTTGTAATAATAATGTGTAGTCGTTGTCCGAGATCTGGGTGAGCAAGACCTCCACCCCCAAAGCCGACGAGCTAGAGCCGGAAAAATAAAGCGTGCCCCAGCAGCCCAGATCCTCACCAACCCCGACGAACTTTATGGTTGCACGCTACAGTTATAATTCATTATTATTATTAAGAAAAGTGGCGCCCAAACGTGTGGAGCCTTAGTAAAAAAATTATTTTTTATTAAGACTCGCGGATAGACAAATTCAACACATTCTACTTTAACTCTCTCTTGTATTTTATATCCTTATTTGCAACAATTTCGTTTTATTTATTCTTGGATAACAGCTTTTTGAATATTTGTATTTGTAACTGTCCAGAATTTTAAAGTTTGTTTGTTTGTTTTAATAAAAATACCTTATTTTTATTAAGACTCAAGGGTAAATAAATTCTTTCTATTTTAGTTAATTTGAACTAGCTTTCAACTTCTTCAAACTGGTGTTAAATTTTTTTGTTTTGTCTTAATTAGTCTTGGAAAACAGTTGTGATAAATATTAGTATTTCCAACTGGCCAGACTTAAAGGGAAACAAAAGATTTTCCTACATTGAGAGGAAGTGACAAGGTGCCGTTAAATTGAGGAAAACAGAGAGGGCAATACAAAGAGCATTTTCTGTCCCAATTTTATAGCACTAAGTCATGAAACTAGTCTCGACTTTGAACTCAACTCTATGAAAAATTCTGGCATTTCTTTCGAGTCGTGCCATATCCTGGAAAAGTATTTTACAGCTTTCTTTAACTTTCTTTCTAATCTTTTCTTGAAGCTTTATTTTTTTAAATCGTATTCTGGAATACATGCGAACGTGTTTCCGAACTATTCTATGTCCGAATTCGAAATAAATAAGTATCGCTTCCCTTGTTCTGAATAGGTCTTGAACCTAATCAAAAATCTTTTATTTTTCCAGTCTTTCAACTTCTGAGAAAATCAATTTAAAATGACCCTTCGATACGTGTGACATCTAGAGTTCGGTAAATACAATTTGATTACTTTATTCTTGATTTATTCACGATATTTCATCTCATAATTTTCTATATTTTTTGGCTTAATTTATTTAAACATTTTGGCTATATTTATCGCAAAGAAGCAGAGGGTTCTGAGAATTCGATTGCAGCAAGTTAACTGCTATCGGAACAAGATCTCATTTGTCGAATTTAATTTGTATTTTTTCTTTTGTTGAGATTTTCTTGGGCACGATGGGGTTAGACCGCTCTCCAGAAAGGGGGGCTGAATCAAGCCCAAGCTATAATTGTCCGATATGTAAGGCAGATATAAACACTGCCGAGGTCTTTGTAACCTCATGCCAACACGAGTTTCACAAGCGATGCATAGAAGCTCACTGGAAGGATAGCGCACAATGTCCGGTGTGCAAAGTATCTTGTAGACCAGCTATCTCAAAGTCTATAGAGGGATCTGACAGGCAAACCCGAAGTGGCTCGAAGAAACGGCAGCCGTTAGATACAGTTTCTCAGCAAGCATTGGATAATACAGCTTCAACCTCAGGACAAAGTTCACAAACGAACACAAGTGGGGTCAACAATTCAAGCGTTTTGACGGCTAATGCTATTACTTTACTGGCTATGGAGCGAAGGTTACTGGCTACGCTTTCAGAGAGGATGACCGATTTAATTCAAAATTCCGTAACAGATTGTATCACCAGGGCGTTAGCTAATTCAAGTCGAGGTATGGACAGTGCTCAGAGTGAGCATTCTTCACAGCGGTCGCTGGGAAACGATGATGTTAGGGGCGGATCTAGAGATGAATCCAGAAGCGAATCAAGACAAGTCCTCTTGGCTCCTGGTTCTCCCGCTTCTCAAAGAAGCACTTCCTCCGACTTAGTAAACCGACCAGATAAAGTCGTGCATATCCTGAACGGATGGAAAATCAAATTTTCGGGCACAGGAGTATCTGTAGACAATTTTATTTACAGAGTTGATACATTGACTCGGGAGACTTTAGGCAACAATTTCTCTTTGCTGTGCAAACATGCTAGTGTCCTATTTGAAGGCAAAGCAAACGAGTTTTACTGGCGATACCATAAAGCTCATGGAGAAATTAATTGGGACAGTTTCTGTTCAGCTTTGCGCCTTCAGTTTCGGCAGAGCAGAGACGATGGCGATATCGAAGAATTAGTTAGAAACACTAAACAAAAGCCGAACGAATCGTTCGATTGTTTTTATGATACCATTACTGCATTAGTCGATCAGCTGGAACATCCCTGGACATCGAATAAGTTAATTCGTGTTCTGAGAAACAATTTGCGGCCAGAGATTAGACATGAAATATTAAATATTCAGATTAATTCAGTTTCTGAGTTAAGAGAGATTTGTCGCAGGCGCGAAGCCTTTTTAGCCGATGTTAAGCGGTCCAGTGGCTACGCGCGAAGCACTCCGTTTAGAAGGGAAGTGTCAGAGTTTGGTCAGGAATATGAGGCTCAGATAGATTCCGAACCTGAAACTGATGGCGACGTCGAAGCGTTTTCTTTGTTGTGCTGGAATTGCCGCAAAGAAGGCCACCGATATCAAGATTGCGTTTCGGAGAGAAGAGTATTTTGTTACGGTTGTGGAGCTGCAAATACTTACAAGCCAAGTTGCAGTAAGTGTTCAAAAAACTCCAAAGCCGGCATGTCGAGGTCGCAATTCAGACAGAAGACTTCGAGTGCCTCCCGGAACCA